GGTAATCTGAGAGCTAAATTTAGACATATCTACTTACGCTTGAAATATACAAGAATTTTTCTTATTTTATGAAAAACAAATGTAAGAAACAATGATTTGTATTTTTTATTTGGAACATGAAGTTATCTAACCTATATATAGGTCATTAAAATTAAAACGTAACTGTAAAAAAGTATAAAGTTAACGTAATATTTAATGGCAATTAAAAATTTTGACAAAAAAAAATACTAAAAAACTTAATGTTAATGGTTTCTATCAACGCTTCAAATATAAATCACCACGAATTCCGATCCACAATTATCAAAAACATGCAAATCAGAGTTGAGGCAAAAAGGGTCTCGAAAACTCAACAAATGTCTCAAATCGACAAGAAAATCGGGTTCTAAATCTTTGGACGTCAAAACACATATATATACGACATATTAGGGTTAAGAAACGAAAATCTAACTATTCAAATACTCTCCTTCGATTTCGAGAAAAATAAACTCGAGAACACCCATATTTTTCCATTTTTGCACTTTAATCCCCAGACTTTTCTCTATTTACATATGCTGCCCCAGACTTTTGAATTGCTTAGAAATTCTCATGAAATCAGATATTTTCAAAACGATCATTTTAACCCAAATCTTATTCCTTTATTTTCTTCAAATTTGAGGTGTTACAATTATAACTAAACAATAGTTATTATTTAGCGGCTTGGAAAGCAGATCAACAAGCAGGTTTCGGTTGGATCTTCACCGATCACCTGAACACGAAGCTAGCCCATTGCTCTGGTTCTTCACAGAATGTTTCTTCCCCTCTAATGGCGGAAACCATGGTGTCTTCCTCGCTGTCCAACATGCATGCGAGCTGGGTTTCACCCACATTTCTCTTGCTACAGACTCGTCTCAACTAGTCTCAGCACTTAATTCGGAGATCCACACAAAGGAGCTCCACGGGATTGTCTTCGATATCTTTGATCTATCCTCTCATTTCTCTGTTATCTCTTTCAATTTAATTTCACGCAACTGTAATCGGTTAGCTGATTCTCTGGCAAAAAAGTCATTGACTTCTCTTGTAATGTGCCTAGCCCACGTTTAATGAGAATAAAATCAGCCTTTGCACGAAAAAAAAAAATATAGCTATTAGACAGTATATTCAAAATGCATATCAATAAAAAAATTATACAAACAAGAAACCCAAAATGGTGAAAACATCCATCTTTTCAAAACAAATGAATCCAAACATATCAAAACATACATGATAATTAGGATCTCATTGTTATGATATTTTAAGAATATATATCACTAAGTAGAATCTAATCAAATGTTTTAAATTTATATATAAACGAAAGATTCAAATTGAAATGTAAAAGAACTTATATAAATATCTAACTAGTTTTTATCACTACTAGGTTTCATCACTAATCATTAGATATGATTTAACACTAATTAAGATACATGTGAACTAACAGATCCATTACGAAATGCATATTTTTGCTATGAATATTTATAAAATCAAAGGATTTAATCTATATCATATTCAAATTTGTCTCTCCCCTTCAAGTTTTTGTTTTCACATTGAAAGTCGAATTAAAATCTCCTTGAAAACGTTTAGTTTATTTTTATGAGGTCTTGATTTAAGGTTATTGAATTAAAGACTAAAGATAAAGAATGTATATTAATTGTTTTTGAGTTTATATAAATTACGTTCTATAAAAGCTTTGATGAAAAAAAAGGTAAACTTTTTTGAATTATCAAAAACATATTACTCTAAAAAAAAATATTAAAATTAGAATTCTCTCAATAATATTTAGAGCTACCCTTAATATTAAAATTTTTAAATTATTATTCGATTCTTAATAGAAAACTTTGTTTTAAAGTTCAAATAGAAAATAATAAATTTTTTTTTTTTTTTTTTTGAGCAAAGTCTAATTCTCATTAAACGTAATTAGGTTTCCATACAGAGAGATAAGAGTGCCTCTTTTGCCAAAGCATCGGCTTGGCGATTTTGAGTGCGAGGAATGAAATTGAAAGAGCATACATTGAAATTAAGAGATAGATAAAGGATGTCGTGGAGAATCCCGTGAAGCTCCTTCTGTTGGAGATTCGAATTGATAGCTTTGACTAGAATCATCGAGTCTGAAGCGAAAGAAACGTTGGTGAGGTTCGATTCCATTGCAGCTCCTATCGCGGCGAGAGTGGCCATAGCTTCGGCCATCAAGGGAGAACCAACGGAGGTTCGAGAGGCGGAGCCTTCCAGGATGGTGAGATCAAATTGATCTTTGATAATCCAACCCAACCCTGCAGATCCATCTGGCTTCCAAGAGGCATCCGAGTAGCAGATCAGGGATCTCGGGAGACGGATTAATTGGGGTGAGGGTAGAGAGATGGGTTTGACAACCGGTTGGGAAGATTGGGCAGCTTGCCATTCCTTAGCGCGCAAGAGAGCAACTTGGATGGCTTCTTCCGCTTTGATTTGTTTTTTGCTGAAAATCAGTTGGTTCCTGGAGGTCCAGATTGTCCAGAAGAGCCAAGGCGCCAGAGGTCCATCACCGATACCCGTGGGAGGGAGGCAGATGAGTTATTGGCTGATATGATTCCGTCAGTTACAGAGTGGCTATCGTCGACGGTAAGAGAAGAACTCAGCGGAGCCATCTTCCAAACTTGCTTGGCAAAGGTACAAGAGAAGAATAAATGTTTCACAGATTCATTTTCTCCACAATGAGGGCATTTAAGCTCATCATTTACCTGTCTCCGGAGTAGATTTTCACCCACCGGGAGGGCATTTTGAGCTGTTTTCCAGAGAAGGAGTTTTGTCTTTGGTGAACTTTTGATGGACCAAATGTTAGCCTTCCAATTGAAAGGATCAGAAGTAGCTGGCCCTGGTGAATCCTCATCAATAACAGTAGACTGGTAAGCTTCAAAATACCCTGACTTTGCAGAATAAATACCATCTTTTGTAGGGAGCCAAGCCCAAATATCTGAAGCACCTTTTGTACTTGGTCGTAGGGACATGATGTCTTTTTCATAGTTAGGGAGGAGAAGTTTGATGAGCTCCTTGTTCCAGGAACAAGTTCCAGGGATCAGTAGATCAGCAACCCTCAGATCTTTTGCAGCTTCAGTGGGGGGACCCATAGGTGACATAGGTGTAGATAGAGACATCCAGGGACACCTCCAGACCGGAGTGGAATCACCCATACCAATTATCTTCCCCAAGTGTGGTTTGAGGAGATCTCTGCCCATACACACACTTCTCCACCCATGTGATGCTGAATTAGAAACAGAGCATTCTAGAAAGGAGGAGAACTTACAGTATTTGCCTAACAAGACTTTGGCCAGTAGGCAAGAGGGTTTAGTGAGCAGTCGCCAGCTAATCTTAGCCAAGAGAGCTTTGTTGAAGGTATGGACATCTCTAAAACCCAAACCCCCTGATTTGAAAGATTTGGACATTCTTTTCCATGATATCCAACACATTTTCCTTTTTTCTGTATTACTGTCCCACCAAAATCTTGTAAGGGCAGATTGAATACGCTTACAAAGAGAGCTTGGGAGGTGGAAGCAGGACATAGTGTATGTGGGCATTGCGGCTAAGACTGATTTCAGCATCGTAAGCTTCCCCGCAGAGGAGAGAAATCTTGATGACCAGCTGAGAGCCCTTTGTTTTATTCGGTCCACGATACTGGTGAAGAGATCCTTCTTTTTCCTTCCAAAAAGTTCTGGCAGCCCGAGATATTTGCCTTGTCCTCCAACCTTGTGGATATTCAAGATAAGTTTTGCTTTGTCTTTGATCTCAAGTTGAGTTTGGCTGAGAAAGTGATAGAGGATTTATCCTGATTTATCTTCTGACCAGAGGCTGTCTCGTATTTCTGCAGGATATTCTTTAATTTCTGGCAGCTTTGGGGATCCGAGCGACAAAAGAACATGGTATCATCAGCAAACAGGAGGTGGTTTACCCTGGGACTGCCCTTTGCAACTCGAAGACCAGGTAACACTCCTTTTGCTTGCACTTTGTTACATAAGCCAGAAAGAACTTCACTGCAAATGATGAACAAATAGGGCGATAATGGATCTCCTTGTCGAATACCTCGCTGTGGAGTAACAAGTCCTTTTGCTTGGCCATTAAGTAGAAAAGAATAGGAAACTGTAGACACACATTGCATGATCCATCGAGTCCAAGTGTGGTGAAAACCCATTCTGTCAAAAGCAGCTTCTATGAAATCCCACTCTAGTCTATCATAGGCTTTGCTCATATCGGTTTTAACGGCCATAAAACATCTTTTTTTGGCTCCTGAATTCTTGAGATAGTGCAGTGCCTCGTGAGTGATAAGAACATTGTCAGATATTGCTCTTTGGGGCACGAAAGCAGATTGGTTTTCTGAAATGCATGAATGTAGCACCGGTTGTAGTCGCTTAGCCAATAGTTTTGCTATAATCTTGTAATAGACTGAGCATAAAGCTATAGGTCTATAATCTGAAACTTTTTGTGGGCTAGGGACCTTTGGTATAAGTCTGACATGAGTGTGATTGATTTTCTGTGGCAGGCTGCCTGAGATGAAGAAAGCTTGGACTTCTGAGATTATTCTGTCTCCAACCGTATCCCAGTTAGACTGGAAAAAGCTAGCAGAAAATCCATCAGGGCCAGGTGCTTTGTCTGCATGAACAGAGAAACAAGCTTGTTTGATTTCTGAGGGAGTTGGCATCGCAATCAGTTTATCATTCATCGCAGGAGTGACGCAGGGAGTCAGAGCTTCATTAATAACAGCTTGCCTATCTCCAGCTTGAGAGGTGAAGATTGTTTGATAATAATCAGATATGGCTTTAGAAATTTCATTTTCTTCATAGACTGGAAAACCCTCCATAGATTCAATGACTGAGATGTTATTAATCGCTCTCCTCCCTTTTGTTGCAGCATGGAAGTAGCCGGTGTTCTTATCCCCAAGTGCAAGCCAGAGTTGCCTACTACGCTGTCTCCAAAAGTCCTCTTCTCTTTTATAAGCCAATAGTAATTTCTTGTTTATCAGATCAATGGTAGCTTGATTAGCATCATCATCACACATATTGGCTTCCAGCTGGTTTCTCAGGGATAAGATCTCTTGTTGGCTATTTATGTGTTGGGCTTTGCTCCAATTGATGATAGCATTCCTACAAAGGTGAATTCTATGATCCACAGAGGCAGTTGGTTCAGAATTCCAAGCCTCCACTATTAACGCTCTAACTTCATCATTTGACTTCAAGCTTCTGTCATATCTAAAGAGATTTTTCCTTTTCTTCTTTACAGGATCAAAAGAAGTGACAAGGGGTCTATGGTCTGAGCCTTCAAACCGGAGGTATTCGCTGCGTCCTGATGGGTAGGCAATAACCCACTCACTGTTTGTCATCGCCCTGTCCAATCTGCATCTAACCAGGTGAGTATGACGTTGTCCTCTCCAAGACAAAAAATTACCCGTATGTTTGAGGTCATAAAGGTCGCATGTAGACATAAATGATCTTAGGTCGGAGAAAGAACCCTCAGGTCTAGGAGGACCACCAACTTTTTCATTACTGCCAATAATATCATTGAAATCCCCAGTAAGCATCCAGGGGCCAGACCTGGAGAGGCCTATATCTTGAAGTTGGGTCCAGACTTGGGTTCTTTTAGCTCTATCAGGTTCACCATAGAGGAAAGTGGAAAAGAAGGAGCGTCCCTTTGCCTTTATTCTTGTATCTATGAAATGTTGGCAAGAACTGATAATCTCCACTTCCACATTGTTTTTCCATAAAAGAAGAAGGCCTCCAGCACCCGGGGAATGAGGTTGCAACAATATGATGAGAAGGATAATCCAACCAACTCAAGGTCTTTAGGACAGTGTCAGAAGGGTTCTTTGTTTCCATTAGAAATAGTAAGTCAGGAAAAATCTTTTTACGAATTTCCCTGATCCTTTGGACTGTCATGGGATTCCCCAACCCACAACAGTTCCAACTCACAACCCTTAAGGAAGAGGGGCTGGCGGATTCTGAAAATCCACCATATTTTTCTGCATTGCAGGAACCAAAGCAATTTTTGGAGCAGCAGTCTTAGAAGATTTGGATTTCCTCAATGGTGTAGTCAAAACTTCATTCTGATGTGAGGAGTTGCCTGAATTAGTCCTGGGATTACTTGGTCCCGCCTGGAAGAGTCCTTGTTTGGCTGAGACTTTTGAGCCTGAGGTTTTTTTTGGAGAGCCCTGAACCAGGTTTCTTTTCTGGGATTTTGCTCCATTAAGTTTCAGATTTGCTTTTGAGACACCAGCAACCAGTGGGGGTCTTCCACGTCCTCGTTTGACTACTTTCTCTTTTCCTTTTGGTGGAGGGGGCAAATCTTCACTTAAGGTTGGTCTAGAGGTAGAGATACCATCTGGGGATTGCTGTTCAGAGACGGTGCCAAAAGGAGCTGATGCCACTGCAGCTTCAATAATTAGGTCAGCAGTATTGTTCATTAAATTTCTAGCTTCTCCTTGTAAAACGCGTTGCTTTCTTGCCGCACTTTCTGTAGGATCAGCACAAGTTGTATACTGAACTGTGACATCTCTCAGCTCTCCCAGAACCTGCTCTTTTGTAGGTACGACAGGTGGTGAGGAAGCAACTTCAGTGGCAAATTGATTTGCTCTGTTTGACCCAAGGAAGGGTGGAGGAGGAGGGGTCAGTGGATTCTGGTTTGACTCCTCTCTTTCCAAAGGAGGCCATCTTGTTCTGGGGGAGTCAGAAGTATCATGATAGGAGCCCACAAAGGAGGGGGATTTTTCTCTCCACTGGAGATTCTGATGATAGGAGCCGCTGTGGCTTCTTCTCTGAGAAAAGTTGTGGTTTTGTTCTCTAGATCTCCGTCTCTCTCTGTGATCAGGAGGAAGTCTAAATGGAGCTCTAGGAGGAAGATGATTGCGGCTGAGAGATCTGTCATCATTCTGAGAGGTACTTCTGGCTCCTCTATGATCAAACTTCCTCTTTAGAGGATTTAGGTCTTCCTGAGAACAGCCATAATTCTTTGTTTCTCCATGATGGCTACTAGGGGCAGTAAAATTATCATTTGGCGTATAGTAGTTTCTGGATAGTTCTTTAGAGCCTTGTGGGGAAGCCTTAGGAGTAGAAGCTTCTTTCCTCTCTAATCCAGGGCAAAACTTCCTCTCATGTGTTAATCTGAAGCAGTGTAGGCAATGATTCTTCAGATTCTTGTAGTCTAAGAAGACAAGCGCTTCACTTCCATTTGGGAAGTCTACCAAAGTGTCTTTTGTAAGAGGTTGTAAGCCATCGATGAGAACTTTGATTTTTGCTGCAGCAGGAGTTATCTCCATATCAAGTATATCTCCTAATTCTTCACCGATTGTTGTTAGCATCTCAGGTTGCCAGTAATGTTTTGGTAGGCCTTGGAGTTCAATCCAAAAGGGATCTTTGACGGGAAGGAATCAGAGATGATTGGTTCCCATTTCTGCAAGATGACCATCCATTGGTCAAAATGGCAGGGCCTGTTATCAAGGACTTTCTGCATATCTTCCTCAAAATCAAATCTGAATTGGAAGCAGCCTCTTCCAAGATCTGAGCCAACAGCTTTACCTTTGAGGTTCCACCGGTTTGCAAGAAAAGGAAACAGAGACCAGAGCCTTTGGACTGAAGGATTAGTGAGTCTGCCCATTAAGGTGAGGGAGTTAGCTTCTATCTGTTGAGAGGTATCAAGATCTGGGGCTCGGATACGCTTACGTGGGGGAGGGGAGAAACCTCTAGCTAGGCCTTTGCCTTTTAGATGGTAGGGAATTCGTTTCTCCATGTGAACACAGGTAGAAAGCAGTGGGTAGGAAACTGGTAGGGTTTAGGAGAATGGACTTTCACACTGGTTGGATAGTTTCAACAAGGCTTAAACAAGTTTACCAAGGATTAAAAGAGAGGAGAAGCAGAGATATACCAGATGGGAGATACTGCTGCTTTGGAGAGGAAGAGCATGGTTTGAGAGGCGGCGGAGAGGCATTTCCGATGGATGAGGTCGTCGGAAAACACCATATTCACTTGCAACTTTCCTTTTTTGGGTAAGGACCAATAGATATTACTGCTTTTAGGAAGAAAAAGTTGGTGAGATCCGGTTTTTTAAAAACTCCATTCTGCTTTTGACCTGCATGGGGAAACGTGCCTGGGAGAGAAAAGGCTCCGAACTTTTTTCAGATATGTTCGTCACAAGTTTTAGAAAATAATAAATTTAAGTTCTTCTTTTTCAGAGAGAATTTCCTTACTGAATATTGTAGTAAAGTGAAAATATAAATTTTTGTGGTAAGAAAAATCTAACAACAGCGAAATATCAATTTATTCGGTAAAAATAGTACACACAATACATATTTCAAGCACTTTTGGAGATTGAGACACAATGATTCCACAAGTCATCACTCTTCTTCAAGTATTCTGTTTCGTGGGCAATTAACATGGGTTTATCTGCAATATATTTAATAAGCGTATCGTGACACACTTTCCCTTCTTTGACGAGATCGTTGCAACAAGGATCAGAAATGGTTCCATTTTCGAAGACAACAGCGATTATATCCAACGCACACTTAGGAGTGATTTTAACAAGACAAGTATTCCATAATGATTTTGCTTCAGCTTCTTCGACTGAGAAACCGGAACAAACGCACACACCAAAGCTACAACGATGAATAGCGTGGTAATCTGAGAGCTAAATTTAGACATATCTACTTACGCTTGAAATATACAAGAATTTTTCTTATTTTATGAAAAACAAATGTAAGAAACAATGATTTGTATTTTTTATTTGGAACATGAAGTTATCTAACCTATATATAGGTCATTAAAATTAAAACGTAACTGTAAAATAAGTATAAAGTTAACGTAATATTTAATGGCAATTAAAAATTTTGACAAAAAAAATACTAAAAAACTTAAAGTTAATGGTTTCTATCAACGCTTCAAATTTAAATCACCACGAATTCCGATCCTCAATAATCAAAAACATGCAAATCAGAGTTGAGGCAAAAAGGGTCTCGAAAACTCAACAAATGTCTCAAATCGACAAGAAAATCGGGTTCTAAATCTTTGGACGTCAAAACGCATATATATACGACATATTAGGGTTAAGAAACGAAAATCTAACTATTCAAATACTCTCCTTCGATTTCGGGAAAAATAAACTCGAGAACACCCATATTTTTCCATTTTTGCACTTTAATCCCCAGACTTTTCTCTATTTACATATGCTGCCCCAGACTTTTGAATTGGTTAGAAATTCTCATGAAATCAGATATTTTCAAAACGATCATTTTAACCCAAAATCTTATTCCTTTATTTTCTTCAAATTTGAGGTGTTACAATTATAACTAAACAATAGTTATTATTTAGCGGCTTGGAAAGCAGATCAACAAGCAGGTTTCGGTTGGATCTTCACCGATCACCTGAACACGAAGCTAGCCCATGGCTCTGGTTCTTCACAGAATGTTTCTTCCCCTCTAATGGCGGAAACCATGGCTGTCTTCCTCGCTGTCCAACATGCACGCGAGCTGGGTTTCACCCACATTTCTCTTGCTACAGACTCGTCTCAACTAGTCTCAGCACTTAATTCGGAGATCCACTCAAAGGAGCTCCACGGGATTCTCTTCGATATCTTTGATCTATCCTCTCATTTCTCTGTTATCTCTTTCAATTTCATTTCACTCAACTGTAATTGTTTAGCTGATTCTCTGGCAAAGAAGTCATTGACTTCTCTTGTAATGTGCCTAGCCCACGTTTAATACATCAGCCTTTGCACGAAAAAAAAAAAAATAGCTATTAGACAGTATACTAAAAATGCATATCAGTAAAAAAATTATACAAACAAAAAACCCAAAATGGTGAAACATCCATCTTTTCAAAACAAATGAATCCAAACATATCAAAACATACATGATAATTAGGATCTCATTGTTATGATATGTTAAGAATATATATCACTAAGTAGAATCTAATCAAATGTTTTAAATTTATATATTAACGAAAGATTCAAATTGAAATGTAAAAGAACTTATATAAATATCTAACTAGTTTTTATCACTATACTAGGTTTCATCACTAATCATTAGATATGATTTAACACTAATTAAGATACATGTGAACTAACAGATCCATTACGAAATGCATATTTTTGCTATGAATATTTATAAAATCAAAGGATTTAATCTATATCATATTCAAATTTGTCTCTCCCCTTCAAGTTTTTGTTTTCACATTGAAAGTCGAATTAAAATCTCCTTGAAAACGTTTAGTTTATTTTTATGAGGTCTTGATTTAAGGTTATTGAATTAAAGACTAAAGATAAAGAATGTATATTAATTGTTTTTGAGTTTATATAAATTACGTTCTATAAATGCTTTGATGAAAAAAAGGTAAACTTTTTTGAATTATCAAAAACATATTACTCTAAAAAAACAAATATAAAAATTAGAATTCACTCAATAATATTTAGAGCTACCCTTAATATTAAAATTTTTAAATTATTATTCGATTCTTAATAGAAAACTTTGTTTTAAAGTTCAAATAGAAAATAATAAATTTAAGTTCTTCTTTTTCAGAGAGAATTTCCTTACTGAATATTGTAGTAAAGTGAAAATATAAATTTTTGTGGTAAGAAAAATCTAACAACAGCGAAATATCAATTTATTCAGTAAAAATAGTACACGTAATACATATTTCAAGCACTTTTGGAGATTGAGACACAATGATTCCACAAGTCATCACTCTTCTTCAAGTATTCTGTTTCGTGGGCAATTAACATGGGTTTATCTGCAATATATTTAATAAGCGTATCGTGACACACTTTCCCTTCTTTGACGAGATCGTTGCAACAAGGATCAGAAATGGTTCCATTTTCGAAGACAACAGCGATTATATCCAACGCACACTTAGGAGAGATTTTAACAAGACAAGTATTCCATAATGATTTTGCTTCAGCTTCTTCGACTGAGAAAACCGGAACAAACGCACACACCAAAGCTACAACGATGAATAGCGTGGTAATCTGAGAGCTAAATTTAGACATATCTACTTACGCTTGAAATATACAAGAATTTTTCTTATTTTATGAAAAACAAATGTAAGAAACAATGATTTGTATTTTTTATTTGGAACATGAAGTTATCTAACCTATATATAGGTCATTAAAATTAAAACGTAACTGTAAAAAAAGTATAAAGTTAACGTAATATTTAATGGCAATTAAAAATTTTGACAAAAAAAAATACTAAAAAACTTAATGTTAATGGTTTCTATCAACGCTTCAAATATAAATCACCACGAATTCCGATCCACAATTATCAAAAACATGCAAATCAGAGTTGAGGCAAAAAGGGTATCGAAAACTCAACAAATGTCTCAAATCGACAAGAAAATCGGGTTCTAAATCTTTGGACGTCAAAACGCATATATATACGACATATTAGGGTTAAGAAACGAAAATCTAACTATTCAAATACTCTCCTTCGATTTCGAGAAAAATAAACTCGAGAACACCCATATTTTTCCATTTTTGCACTTTAATCCCCAGACTTTTCTCTATTTACATATGCTGCCCCAGACTTTTGAATTGCTTAGAAATTCTCATGAAATCAGATATTTTCAAAACGATCATTTTAACCCAAAATCTTATTCCTTTATTTTCTTCAAATTTGAGGTGTTACAATTATAACTAAACAATAGTTATTATTTAGCGGCTTGGAAAGCAGATCAACAAGCAGGTTTCGGTTGGATCTTCACCGATCACCTGAACACGAAGCTAGCCCATGGCTCTGGTTCTTCACAGAATGTTTCTTCCCCTCTAATGGCGGAAACCATGGTGTCTTCCTCGCTGTCCAACATGCATGCGAGCTGGGTTTCACCCACATTTCTCTTGCTACAGACTCGTCTCAACTAGTCTCAGCACTTAATTCGGAGATCCACACAAAGGAGCTCCACGGGATTGTCTTCGATATCTTTGATCTATCCTCTCATTTCTCTGTTATCTCTTTCAATTTCATTTCACGCACTGTAATCGGTTAGCTGATTCTCTGGCAAAGAAGTCATTGACTTCTCTTGTAATGTGCCTAGCCCACGTTTATGAGAATAAAATCAGCCTTTGCACGAAAAAAAAAAAATAGCTATTAGACATATATTCAAAATGCATATCAGTAAAAAATTATAACAAACAAAAAACCCAAAATGTGTGAAACATCCATCTTTTTCAAACAAATGAATCAAACATATCAAAAACTACATGATAATTAGGATCTCATTGTTATGATATGTTAAGAATATATATCACTAAGTAGAATCTAATCAAATGTTTTAAATTTATATATTAACGAAAGATTCAAATTGAAATGTAAAAGACTTCTCATATCTAACTAGTTTTTATCACTACTAGGTTTCTCACTAATCATTAGATATGATTTAACACTAATTAAGATACATGTGAACTAAAGATCCATTACGAAATGCATATTTTTGCTATGAATATTATAAAATCAAAGGATTTAATCTATATCATATTCAATTTGTCTCTCCCCTTCAAGTTTTTGTTTTTTCACATTGAAAGTCGAATTAAAATCTCCTTGAAACGTTTAGTTTATTTTTATGAGGTCTGATTTCGGTTATTGAATTAAAGACTAAAGATAAAGATGTAATTAATTGTTTTTGAGTTTTAATAAATTACGTTCTATAAAATGCTTTGATGAAAAAAGGTAAACTTTTTTGAATTATCAAAAACATATTACTCTAAAAAAACAAATATAAAAATTAGAATTCACTCAATAATATTTAGAGCTACCCTTAATATTTAAATTTTTAAATTATTATTCGATTCTTAATAGAAAACTTTGTTTTAAAGTTCAAATAGAAAATAATAAATTTAAGTTCTTCTTTTTCAGAGAGAATTTCCTTACTGAATATTGTAGTAAAGTGAAAATATAAATTTTTGTGGTAAGAAAAATCTAACAACAGCGAAATATCAATTTATTCGGTAAAAATAGTACACGCAATACATATTTCAAGCACTTTTGGAGATTGAGACACAATGATTCCACAAGTCATCACTCTTCTTCAAGTATTCTGTTTCGTGGGCAATTAACATGGGTTTATCTGCAATATATTTA